TATATATATATATATATATATATATATATATTATGGTTATTATCAAAATGAAATCTGTAAATAGAAATTATCAATGTTGAATTCCGATAATGGAATATTTTTTTATTGATGGTATTTAAATATACCTCTCAAAGTTGGAATATTAATCAATAAATTCATTGATGCACATAAGACAACATTGGCACATCTTGTACTAATCGCCCTATTCAATATCTTCACCATTGTTTCTTCTAAGCATGTTGTCATTAATCCCCCCCTTCCCCCCTCAAAAACACTCCCATGGCGGACGATAATAACGGAGTTCTAACCGAAGTATACGTCGTTCTACTCATCATTGCATTGGGGGCCTTACTGATCGCAATATATCATTGTATCTCGATGCTATGGTGGGATCTGCATCGTCATCGGAGACGACGAGGCCCCACCGAGATACAATTGGAAGGAAATGACGTAAGTTTTGAAAACTCTGTAGCCGGGCTCATCCCAGCGCATAAGCACAAAAAGGGAATTGGCTCGGAGGATGATGAGCCCATGTGTGCTGTGTGTCTAAGCGAGTTTGAGGAAGGAGAAGAGCTACGGACTTTGCCCGACTGTATGCACTCCTTTCATGTTTCGTGCATCGATATGTGGTTATACTCGCATCGTAATTGTCCCATTTGCCGAATGGACGCGGCCACCACCGCTTCTCCTTTAATGGAGATTATATACATAGTTGATCCACAACATGATCAGGAGGAAGTGGTATCAAGACCAAATATGCCACAAGATTTAGCTGTACAAAGTATGGCTCTTTGATGGTAAGAAATTCAATGTTTTAGGATGCTCATGTAATTAGTTTTCTAACCTTTTGGGGTTTGCTGGAGTACTTTGAGTTTGTTTTGTGCATTTACAAGAACTTACTGGATACACCCAAAAATCAAATTGGATTTGAGGTTTTTTTTATTAACCTTGATATTCAACCCACTATGCGAGCTGATTAATTTTAGGACGACCACCTGCTTTGCAGATAGCCCGGAGTCTCCTTGGATTTGAACCTGAGATCTCCAGGTACTGGATTTGAGGTTTTAATTGCAACAAAACCGGGTTCATTGGACCCCAACAATATAGAATTGTCATATGATAGATCGCTTTACAGGTCTTAAGTTTATAGGATAACAAAAAGAACATCATATCTCAAATGTGGTAATAAGGTTACATAACATTTTTTTGCGTATTAACAAGTTTACCGGACACTTGTTTTTATAAGATAGTGTCATAAAATAGCTAATGTTACACTTTGTTATAAAAATGTCATAAAAAGTTTGTTAAAACACTCAAAAACGTCCTATAAACTTATTGCAGCACTTTTAAATAAGACGCTTTATCGTTTGATCCTGTAAATCTAAGTCGTATAAAGCATTCTATTGGGTTATAACCCCAATTTAGTTGTAGTGCGGGATCAGTCGTCGTACCGTAATCAAGAATTTAGGGGACTTGGTTAGGCTTTCCATATAATGATATGAAAACCTAATTAAACCAAGTCCTTTATCTATATAAAGAGAGGATGGCATGGTTTGATTCACATACAGAAGAAATCCTCCATATTTTCTTGAACGCAAGTAGCATTTTCCTTTTGATAACCGTACGTAGTTATTCAGAATCAACTTGTGTGCAGCTTGAATAATCTCAAGGGCCTAAAGAACAGTTAGGATAATTCATTGTGACTTTGCAGGACTCGAACCGATAACCTCTGAGAAGGATCCTAAAAGACCCGATCCTTATATCACAACTAGCATTAGGGGTGCTCATGAGTTGGGTTGATCGAGTTGAACATATTTGAACAACTCAACCCAATGCTTGCGGTTTGGAAAAATATTAACCCAACCCAACCCAACCCAAACCAAAGTGCAACTCAACCCAATCCAACCCAACCCGTACAGGTTGGTCGGGTTGATACTTTGATATATTAAATATTCTTCTAACCTTGAATATGTTATTTCTCTATTCATAATTTCTTTTTCATCATCAGCCATTTGATACAACTTATCCATATTTCTTACGTATATCACATTCAGTTAATTTTCTCAATTTACATATATATGTTCACAGTTACTAAACATATATATGAATGAGTTATATAGAGATATGAATAGATTGAAATATGTGTATATGAAAAGCATACATTATAGTGTAATTGTCTAATGTATATATTAACAGAAATTCAACAATCATATTAAATCCAAGAAATACAAGGATATCGGGTTCATCGAGTTGGTTGGGTTTAAATAATAGTAACTCACTATCAACCCAATACCTGCGGTTTGAAAATTTTACAACTCGATTAGACATCGAGTTGTTTCGGGTTGAGTTATTTCGCGTTGGTTTGGGTTGATCAGGTTGGTCGGATTTTTGAGCATCCCTAGCTAGCATTGCATTCTTAAAAGAAAACAATTTCGTGATGATGATCAATAAATTATCAAATTTCATTTCTTTTGTAGTTGAAGGTGGTTGTTTCTTGATGGTCTATTATGTGAAAAAGTTGTTTTTTTTATTAATATGGATATCCAACCCGTTATATGAGCTGATTAATCCTAGGGCGACCATCTGCTTTGCAGATAACCTAAAGTCATCGCATTTGAACCTTCGTGGTCATAAGGAGATTTTTATTCCTCATTGGATTTGAACCTGGGACCTTCTAGAACTTTTGACCTTTAGAGTCAAGCTCAAACCAATCAGACACCACCCTTGTGGTTAAAAAAAAGTTGTTTATTTTGTGACCATATAAAATTAGAACTATTTGGAAGGATATATATATTTGGAACCTTTTATATTTATATATAGAAAAGGGTTTAAATGAGAAAAATAACCAAATAAAAGAACAGAAAAAGGGTTAAATGTGATTTTACACTAGCAGTCAACGTAAGGGTGTGCAGGCGACGTGACCTACAACCTTATGTCGTAGCCAAAGTCGTATGAGTGACATATGATTTTTTTACGTGATTTTAATATAAAATCACATACGATTTGATCATTTTCTTATTCTTTTATTTGATTAATGTGTTCGTATGAACCCTAAGGGGTCGTTTACCAATTTTTTTGGTTAAATGTTGATTCGTGTAAGAGGTCTGACTGGAGTAAGTGCGGATTGAATTTTTATTTTTGTTTACCAAACACTTTGTATTAAGTGTTGATTGAGTAAAAAAAACCATTATGTCCCTTTTTCTGGAGTAAGTGTTTGTTTACTATATGTATTGTATTAAGTGCTAACATAAAATGTTATTTATCAAATTTATTATATATAATTTCAAATTCTTTATTGCTTACAAATATATTAATATTCAATATATTAACATATTACAGTTTTCATCATTTAGAACAAAAAGTCAAATTTTTAAAGGCAAAACCACCACCAAAACAAAAAAGACCAAAATAAGAACCAACGTCGCGATAATTATATAAGCCCAAGTTGACATCCCGTGAACTTAACCCAACCCTCATACTTATCCTCCTTTAAACACAACCAAATATTCTTATAGTCAAGGCCTAGACTAAAAAGATGAAGTGTTGCCTCATACAATGGGCTTCCCCACCTAAATTTCTCTAGTTTTTCATTGGAAGCACCCACCTCAAGTTCCATGGGTTGTTTGTCCAAAGCATTTTGCACAGAAGTGACAACCTTAGACACTTCTTCATCATTTACTAAACTGTTTGGTTGAACACTTTTTTCGTTTTTTTCTTTGAGATTGAGAACGCGAAAAAGACTCTTACCGAAGGCAATATTGTTGAATTTTGTGGCTCTTGTGTTTCTTGTATTTGAGGAGTAACACGTGTAGACAATGTTTTTAAACTTGCTCTTGTGTTTGAGGAGCAATGAATGTAGAATTAGGAACAAAAGAGGTCCGCCCCCAACTTCCAATGTCTGTGGAAGCAACTCCCTCAAAATGTTGAACACAAAGATCTGGAAATGATAGTGGTGCAGCCCTCAACTTTTCAACATATTTATTGGATTGTTTACAAAAAAATTATGTGTAAATAAATAAAAAGAAAAAATAGAAAAAGAAAAAATAGAAAAATAAAAAAAATATGACCTCTGCATCCATTTGACATTCCTCTTGAGACACCTTAAAAGAGTTTGTTGACGCATCATAGATATTTTCAGTTTTGTTTTTCAATTTTGACCAAACTTCATATTTGTCTTTGAGATAGTCGTAATGGTTTTTCATTTGCCTTTAGTCCACGATAAATTTATGTGTCTTTTCTAACGTTTAAGCTACTTTCCTCCAAGAATTGTCTTAAAGCTACCACCCTCTCGCCCATTTTAGATATCTCTCACAAACATGACTCTAGAAAAGTTTTTACCACATTGCAATTTTTCCAACTAAGCCTAGCTCTCTTGAGTTGTGAAGATTCATCAAATTTTTCTATACATATAGAAATTAATTAAACATACCTCAAACACATGGTTCAATTATCCATGGTTCATGAAAAATTGCAAAACGTAACATGACATAAAAATCTAGTCTAAGCAACTAGTAAGATAGCATAAACGGAAATGATCATAGGAAGACAAACATAAAATTTCGACATATAAACAGTAGTCATATGCCACTTTCAATAATTTCCCAAAAAAAGGCAACCAAAATTAGTTCCATAATATGGGGTTGGCTTGTAGTATGATCAATTCCCTTTGTACAAGAAATAAAAATCATTGGTTGCAAGTACATCCCCTAAACCATCCATCACTACACATAATCCTTGCCAACAAAAGTTTTCACCAAAGGGTCTTTGACCTAGTGGTATTGTAGTCTTTGGCCTCCTAGGAAGTCAGGGGTTCAAACCTCACCGAAGGTGAGGAGGACATGTGAGTTTATTTATTGCATTTGCCTTATATAAATATTATATACTTCAAAAAAAAGTTTTCCCCTCTCTTACTATATATATCTATATATATATATATATATATATATATATACTTGGGATCGTGTGAGATCAATCGTTTTTCGTGAGACCAATTCTTAACCCTTTGATTAGATTTACAATCGTCAGATCTGAACATTCATAAACGCCACGAGACTTCTCAATAATTACAAAATTGCCACCTTGCAATTTTAGATCATTAGATCATTAGCTTATAAAGTTGATCAATGAACATAAATTGGTCTTACGGGTCTCACGAAAACCCCTTGGTTTCACGTGAACCCAACCCTATAATATATATATATATATATATATATATATATATAAAAGGTTGGGTTCACGTTAGACCAACATGTTTTCGTGAGACCCGTGAGACCACATTTTTACACTTGAAACTTCACAGCAAAAACACTGTGAATGTTTAAAAAGTCGAACCTTCACAACAAAAACACTGTGAAGGTTACCTTCACAGCATTTTGCTGTGAAGTTTCAAGTGTAAAAAGCTGGTCTAATAGCCATAAGAGTGTTTAAAGGATTTGCTTTGTCCATGTTGAAACATTTTAAGTCATTCTCTGTATAATTTGATGGATACCTGAGTATTCCATTATGCATATGCTAGATCTGTAAACCACAACAATATTTGATTTTTTTTCCAAAAGCTTCGGTTTCAAATTCTTCCTTAAAAGCATAATAACATAGATTTCCTTATTTATGCTCGTAATATTTAGATCATAAACATAGAAATCCATATATGATCACGTATCTAGAGGTTGGTTTCTTAATAAAGAGGCATTTACTCATCAATTCGCTTAAACAATTATATCATATGCTTCCAGGTTGTTTTAACGCATAAAGATTTTTGAAATTTCATTGAATACATTTTTTAAGGTTTTGCAGCCAATTTTTCATTTTAAATCCTTGAGGACTTTTTGCATGATACGCTATCAAGTGATTCATACAAGTTGTAACTCCATAAGATGGATTTCAAAATTTTCAAAGACGGGTAAATGATTAAATATCTAAAAGATATTGTGTGCATGACATATTAAATAAACATTGAAATGACGTTTTCATAGATATATTATGTTCAAAGTGATAGCAGACATTGTTCACCTTGTAAACCATTATGTGAAAGCACACATTGTTCACTTTGTAAATGCTTGCGGACACCTAGTTACCATTTTTGTAAACCGACCTTGTGAACACTATACGAACACCTGATTGACACCAACCTATATCTCTTTTCTTCAAATTGGTGATGTTAGCTTTTTTCTCTACGAGTACCATCTCCATTTGAAAAATTCTAATGAATTGCAGATCATTAAAAGTTAAAAAATGAAAAAAGAAAATGGATTTGTAGTTCACATCCAGTTCATTAATGTCTCTAGTTCAACACCAACTACCTCTATAAACCAAACCAACGACCATGATATGAAAACTATTGTTTCCAAGAGGACAATTTTGGTAAAAGTCCTATTTTGGAGAAAAGTTGGAGGGAGAGATGTGAGGGATGGTGAAGATTTCTCCGCCATAGACGAAGAGGAATGGAGGAGGAGGAGGAGGAGGAGGAGGAGTTGTTGAGATTAAAGTATGGACGGTTACAATTGATTTTTCTATATTAATAATTTATTATTACCTAAAAATCATATGGTTTGATTAGTTGTCACTAATTATCAAAACGTCCATTTAATAAATATAAGTTGATTAGGGGTTGTTTACCCAAATGCTTATCCGGTAAACGTTTACCGTTAGGAGTCAACAATATAATTTATTTTATCGGGTAAAATTGTAGTACATCAAAACGTATTTATGCAACAATTTACCTGGTAAGCGCTTACCCGGGTAATAGTCGTCACCCTCACTTACCGGGTAAAACTCTCAATCCTTATCATCGCTCTTACCGCATGTTCAATCGGTGAGGAAAATTGCTCAGTAAATACTTATCGAGTAAGCATTTAATAAACGACATCTAAATCAAACAAGCGGACTATAATGAATCTCATATATTTTGGAGTTATCAAATGATTAAACACACACACACACACACATACACATACACATACACATACACATACACACACACACACACACATACATACATACATACATACATACATACATACATACATACATACATACATACATACATACATACATACATACATACATATATATATATATATCTCTCATTTGAGAACACACTGCTTTCATAAGACCCATTAGACCACATTTTTACACTTGAAACTTCACAACAAAACACTGTAAATGTTAGGGTTTTTTTCACATTCACAATGTTTTGCTGTGAAGTTTCAAGTGTAACAATATGGTCTCACGGGACTCACGAAAACAAGCTCGTCTCATGTGAAACCAACCCTTTATATATCCATAGATTCATTTGAGAAGTTGTAAATATTTGAGAAGTAGAGAAGTGATCCTAACACTTCACCTGGTCAAATTTTGCGGTTTTGACTGTGAAGCACCGGATAATTCTTCGCATGGTATGCGTAAGATAAAGGGGTACTTTGTAATTTTTACAAATAAGTGGTAAAAAAAGTGCATATGTGAACTCGTGTGATTCATATATGAGCTATATGTTCATATGTGAACCCGTGTAATTCATATATAAACTATTTAACTGATTCATATTTGAACAAATTAATTAATTTATATATGAACCCGTGTAATTCATATAT